AGATGCTTTGAATAATAAAAGTGTCATTCTGACATCCAGGGGTAGAATCTCATCTCACTAATACATAGGTAATGAGTATTTTTCAAGAAGAGTTCATCATGTTGGAACAGTGTTAAACTGTCCAACTGACTTCCTGCTTGCTGAAAAAGGTGTGCTTCTAATAGTGTTACTTAAGCAGAAAAGGTGATGTCTGGTTAGCACAAATGAAATGGGAGTTAGGACTTCTGATCGCTTAGTAAAGTATCACTAGTTGTTGTGTAGGTTATTTCTATCAGTTGGTATTGTTTGAAAAATGCTTTGAAATGTTTAGCTGAATACAGCAACATGGTTTATGAATTCATTCATTATGCTTTATGTCCTCTAAGTCTGCATTAGTATTATCTTAAGTTCACATAGATCTCAAAGGCAAAGGCCAAATGTGTTTTGTCTTATTTTCTATAGCACCAAATAGGATATCAAACAAATATGTACAGGTAGTCCCTGACTTATAATGGGGCTGTGTTCCTAGTCATTGTCAGTTGGTTCTGACGTGAGTAGAATACCTAACTTTTTCTTAGTTTTCATTATGATTGCCTTTTATTATCAGTATCGTTATAAATCCAATCTTCGGAGCCCTGGTGGCACAGTGGTTAAGAGCTCAGCTGCTAACCAAAAAGTCAGCAGTTCCAATCCACCAGCTGCTCTGTTATGGATTGAAAAATATGTATATCAATTTGGCTAGGCCATGATTCCAGTATTGTGTGATTGTCCACCATTTTGTCATCTGATGTGATTTTCCTATATGTTGTAAATCCTGCCTCTATGATATTAATGAGGGGGGATAGGCAGCAGTTATGTTAATGAGGCATGGCTCAATCTACAAGATTGAATTGTGTCTTGAGACAATTTCTTTTAAGATATAAAAGAGAGACAGGGGGACTTCATACCAACAAGAAAGCAGCACCAGGAGCAGAGTGCATCCTTTGGACCCGGGGTTCCTGCGCAGAGAAGCTCCTAGTCCAGGAGAAGATTGATGAGAAGGACCTTCCTCCACAGCTGATAGAGAAAGACTTTCCTTGAAACTGTGCCCTAAATTTGGGGTTCTATCCTACTAGACTGTGAGAGAATAAACTTCTGTTTGTTAAATCCATCCACTTGTTGTATTTCTGTTATAGCAACAGTAGATGACTAAGATAGAATTTGGTACTGAGAGACTGGGGTGCTGCTCTAACCTAAAATGTGAAGGCAGTTTTGAAACTGTGAATGGATAGGGGACTCAGATGGAAGTGAGGACAACTGTTAACATCGGAGGCAGCACAATGGTGAGACACAGCAGCAGAGGATCGGCAGCAGTGGAACCAGGAGACCAGTGCGAGACGGTGCTGGAGCTGACCCATGGAGCAAGAGAGCTGAGTGCCTTTGCATAGGAAGCTTCCTGGCAGAGTGGGGTGCCTCCAGGCACTTATTGGTGGAGCTAGGCTTGCTGACCCAAGGAGCAAGAGAGCTGAGCGCTTTCCAGCCAAAGTTTACTGGCAGAGTGGGGTGTCTCCAGGCACTTATTGGTGGAGCTGCAAATCTTTGGAACACCTGCCCCAGCAGGGCAGATGCAGGCGTGAGGCCCGAGGGCCAAGAGGCCAGGAACCAGGAAGCAGAAGCTGAGGAGACAAGGAACACGGGAAGCTGAGCTGCCTCAGTCTCAAGGGTATGGCCATGATCTCTGGGGTTTCAAAGTGTGGAACCATGGCCTCTGGTGTTTCTAAGGGTGGATTTGCCACTCAGATGGACTAGGAGAATGGTGTGTGCCTAAAGCCAAGGGAAAAGAGTTGCTGTCCCAGTGGGCCTGGAAGGCAGAGCTGAAGCCCAGAGCCAAGGGATCTCCACTCAGAATCCGGAGAGTATGGCCAATACCTCAAGCCTGGAGGGCAGGATCATCGTGTAAATTGTCTTAAGCAAACAGAGGATTATTTTCAAAGCCTTGACAGCTAATGTAATGTGTTCTGCTGACTTGCGTGGTGCCTGTTATCCCTCCTTTCCCTCCAGTTTCTCCCATTTGTAATGGAAATGTTTAGGTTGTGCCTCTTCTGCCGTTGTACCTTTTGAACCAGATAACTTGTATTCTAGATTTCACAGATGAAGAGGAATTTTTGGATTTTGGACTTGGAGTTAAGGCTTTTGCTACAATATGATGGGGTAAATATGTTTTGCATGTTGCAAGGATGTGATTTTTCAGAGGCCAAAGGGTGGAATGTCACTAGATGACTAAGACATACTCCTTAGAAATCCTGTGAGGCAGTTCTACTCTGTCCTATAGGGTCACTATGAGTTGAAATTGACTCGACGGCAACAGGTTTTTGGTTTCGGTTTATTATCAATATCTTTATAAATCCGATCTGTCTTTGGGGGTTGGAAACATTACATATAAACTTAGATATATTTTCATACATCCATACATAAAAAAATACACACATCAGTAAAGGATGGACGATGTTGGCATTTTGTCAGTTGCAGTAATAACTCCACTTGTGGAAGGTTCTGATCATCTGGGTTATTATCCCTGGAAATGGGGATAGTGTTTCTACTCAGAAAATTAGTGAGAGTTGTCTGTATGGTCCTTTTACATGCTACAACACTGTATGCAGTACATATTACTAATGATAAGATGTATTTTTTTTAAAAAAAGTAGTAACCCAAACTACCTGTATTTTTTCTTTTTGGTGACAAGCTTTGAAGTCTGTTAGGATATCCAGGGATAGGCCAATTTACCAGGGAGTTAAATTTAATAAATTGAGTTTTAATAATTGGATTTTATAGTCATAAATTTTTTCTAGAAAATTAGAGCCTTAGAGGAAAAACTGCTTCATTTTCAACATTAAAAGAAACTTCAAAATCATTAAAATGCAACAATGATGACTTAGTGATCTTGTTGAGTGACAGATGGGGAAAAAAAAAACAAAAACTCTTTTTGCCCTAATGTGAAATCTCAGCAGGTAAAACTTGTGGTTAACTCTTGTTGTCATGTCTAATCAGGCTGTGAAAGGTTTTAAGAGAATTAATCCTTAGATAAGGTGTTTTACACTGAAAAACATGTAACCACTTTTCTTTGTAGTGGTATAAACACTACCTCCTTGGGCATTTAACTAGGTTCTAAGGTTTTTCATATATTAACGAAGACTCAGAGTTGACTTTAATGGGCAGATTTACAGTATAAACAATCCATAAAATAAACAACTGGAGAAAATATTTTAAGTCTTGACTTATGATAATAAATGAATGTATGTTTCCTACTATAATTTCCTTGAAAATATAGTTAAAGGAACTGGACTAGAGTGTAACATGTATTGCTTTAGTCAATTACTCGAGTACTGAATTTTACCAATGCAGATAATCTAGCTAATTTACGTTTAAAGTCTTTTTCTAGCCCTCCCTTTAACAATTGTGCTTTGACCTATGTGTACCAACAGCATGTTCTATCACTAGGGTTAACAGAAGTTTTATTTTCAAAACTTCCTCCCTCCTTAAAATTCTCTTTCCTAGTTTTCAAGTGAAAATTGTCTTTGGGGCAACGTATTTAACCAGCCTAATAAAACTAACCGGTAATGTGCACCAACTAGAGAGTAACACAAACAAACTAAATGAATTATTGAAAGGCAATCTTTTCTTATGTTTAAAATGAATAAAGTTTCTTCATGTTGGTAGCACAGTGGATTTTAAAAACAGGATCATAAAATAATCCTGTTTAAAGAAATAAGTTTAATGGCACTTTCCAAGAGACTAATCCATAATAGATGTCGTGCTGCATTTCCTTTTCCACCCAGACCCTCACACATTTAAGACACATTGAAGAAATATGAGTAAAATAGGGAAAGTGCTGATTCTTCAAAAGCAAGAGAAGAAACTCCTTCTCAACATTTCATATCGTTTATTAATGCAATATACATTGGATCCAAAATCTTCAGTTTCTAAGCATACCACGTTCAGATCTTTCTGCAGTTTTAGGTTATGCCTACAGAGGTACCTTTTAGTGAATGAACAAGACATTCTATAATTATTGAAAATATAGTACAGAGTGAAATGCTTTAAATATAATTTAGGCACATATTGATTATGAAAATAGATATCTCTCAATACAATACTTCCCTGTCTCAGTAAAAATAATAAAGCAAAGAAAATAATTCATTTCTAAAGTTGCTTTCCTTTATCTGTAAAGGTCTGATCTCCCACTATGCATGTGTACTCTTTACTGTTAAGGAAAGCTTTGCATATGTATGTATAGAAGAATAAACTACATAAATATTAAAGACATATCATTCTCCCAAAGGAGATAAAGGTGGTTTTTAATGATTCATTGCCTCAAACTGATGAGTCTGTAGAATTCAGAGCCCATCTGGACACAGCTAACATCCCTGCTCTTGGGGTGGATGTAAGGACACTGGGGTATTGGTAAGGAAGGACAGGCCCTATAGCTGCTGCTACAGGGAGATAACTCAAGAAAACTGGGCTAAAATTTGTTTTAAAACACAGTAAATAAAAGAACCACAGGAGCTGGCTGACTGATATTACATCCTGGACCAGCCAACTACCTTTATTTTTATTTCTTTATGTATTTGGTGGCTATAATCAACTTGTCAGTTTAAATCCCTCATTCCCCATTGCAGGGCTTTAGTTGTAATTATATTATGCTGACTTCTAAGAGGTGACTTTGCCATATTCATTCATATTTTATAGTTTTGATTGCAATGGATTTAAACTTAATACCTATTTCTAAACTGGCCCTGTTTAAACTATTTGGCATTTGAATTAAGTGAATATTAATGATGCGCCTTGGTTCTTTGGTACCAAAGTATCATCATATGCTTATTTTGATTGTATATGAGACCATTAGTCTAGTAGTGTAAATTCATAAAATTGCCTGGCCTGGTGTTGAGCAGAACTTGCTTATAATGAATTTCAGTTTTTCAATTTAGGATGTTCATTTAAAAGTTGTAACTATATGTAAATTCTTCCTCCATCTTGGGAGTTCCACTGTACTTTCAGCATGAAAATTCTGTATAACTCTGTCTTTCCTTCCACTCTATCTCAATCAGTAAGAATGAGAGATTTCTTTAATTCAGCTACTGTTTTGTTCTAAAAAGTAAACATTATAAAAATGAACCTGAAAAGAGAGTCTTGGGGAGTGGTCTCACCATATGCATATGGTTTGACAGGCATTTAAAGTAGGGGAGGCATCACTAAAGCTATTTATAAACCTGAACAATCTTTTCAAAATTTTCATAAGGTTTAACAATTTAAATATCCATACTGCATCTAGAGATTCAATAAATATAATTGCATATGTTGTGCTTTTCATAAATTAAAATCTTCAAATGCATTTCAAACCAAGATGGTATCTCCACATCATGCCTATTTAAAAGCAAATATAGTAGATATTATTCCTGGTCATAAAGTCAGGCAAATCCCCCTACCCCATTCAAAAGGCAGCACTATAATCTAGATTCCCTATATCTATTATATGAGTGCTTCTCCTTTATAATCAGAATGTGGAAAAAAGGGCATTTTTTCCCCCTTATGCACCACTGAGAACAAGCATAATCTTCTAAAATTTCTTTTAGTCCCTTAGTTATTTCTTCTAGACAACTGAGCGGGTGGAGAAAGAAAAGTGATAAGCAAAATATTTCTCATCTTGGGCATCTTTCTCCAGCCCCTAAAATTCTCATCTGACACTTTGTGACATATGCAGTGGTGTCAACATCTCTTCAAATATAGCTCCCTTCACATTAGAACCTCTCAGGTTGGCTTCTTGAAGATCACACCCAGACAGATCACAGTTCTGCAAGATAAAACAATATCCATATAACTAATACAGGGATTCAAGGTTTCCTCTCAAAATGATTTCTGATGTGTATTAGGAAAATGCTCCTATATAATACAACTCAGTTAACTTCCTGAAAAGTTCTGACCATATACTCTAAAGTCAGATTTTCTTCTATCTGCATCTGTTATCTCTAACTGATGCTCAGGCTGATCACCACAAACATATATAAAAAAAGGTAAAAGAAGAAGTACTTCCCTTCTGTTCATATATTTTAGAATCAGGCATTTAAAATCCAGAATGAATTCCACTGTAACAAATACTTCCTAAACAATTTTAACCACAATTCCTATCCAACAACAACAACAACAAAATTCAGGAAAAGGGCGAGACTAAGAAATTATCTGAGAGAGAGGTTCTACTAATAAGTAAATTCTGTAATAGATCTTTCCATTCTCCAACCCTAACATTTGTATATCAGGGGACTTTTTTTAAAACCCCAAATTTATATGTACAATTCAATGAGTTTTGATAGATGTATACAGTAGTGTAACCACCACCACTAATTTCTCTTGAGATCACAGAGTGAAAGATCAGACAGGGTTCTGGATAAGTTCCTGGGAGCACTGGGGGACAATGGTTACAGAAGGGTGACTGCACATAGCTTCAGGAGGACAGAATATCAGCAGCTGCCTCGCAACAGTCAACCTGACCAGTTTTTGCAATCAGCTGGATAGAGCAAGGCTTTTGCTCCTTAAGAACTGACTATATGTAACTAAAACCAAGGGGAAAAAATATATGCAATCTTAGACGACAGTTATAATAAAAAAATTAAATAACTATGCTCACAGTAGGATTGTACCTTCAGCCTTGGGCTGGTTCTTTTTGCCTCTAAATTTAAAGTGGCCTGCTATTCTGCTGCTGAGAGCTATCAAGAGATCAAGGAAAAACGTTTTTTAAAAAAATTAATAGCAAACTAAAATTTGACATACTGTTCTCTGTAATCCAATCTATGCTAGATTTTCTTCTATAGAGCTGTGCTGATCAATATGGTAGCCACCAGCCACACATGGCTATCTACATTTAAATAATTAAAATTAAATAAAATAAAAAAAAGCAGTTTCTCGGTTGCGCAAGCCACATTTCAAGTGCTCAACAGCCATAGAGTGCCTACTGTACTGAACAGCACAGATGTAACACTCCCATCACTGCAGAAAGTGACGTGGATAGCACTGATGCAGACCTGTCAACAGCTACATTCTACTAGTCTACTAGCTGAATTTGCAAATCAAGAAGACATACGGCATACGATTCTCATGAAAAAGATGACTGGAAAAAATTAAAATCTCAAGGTGAAATTAAAAAAGAATATACCAATTTAGAATGGGCTTTTCCTGAACCTGATTTCAAACCTGGATATCATTTAAATTTCTCAAGTAGTTCAAAGACATAATCTGGCCCCACTGTAAGAAAACAAAAAGAAAATTCTACTTGGGATTAAAATTTAAGAAAAACTCAGTAAATTAGATTAATAAAGCATTTATCAAATTTATTTACTTGAGAAAGACCCAAGGAAAAGGAGAGAAATAAGACAGTCAGATAAATTTTCAAATCTGAAACTGGCATCAATTACTTATGTAACTGAATTCTGCTCTTTAATTCAAATTTGTTTAAAAAACAAATTGAAATGAAAACCCATTCCTCCAGCTGACAGAATACTGGCATGTTACCTGGCAGTTTTTACTAGCCAACTACTTTATGATTTCAATAAACTTTGTGTGAGATCCTCAGTAATTCTAGATCAACACACCCTTTTGAAAAGCTGCCGACTCACCTCTAAATCAGTTCCTGCCAGAGTCGCTCCTCTGAGGTTGCAGTTCTTCAACTTTGCATTTTTTAATGTAGCAACTCGCAGGTTAATTCCTGTCATCTGACTTCCTTCCATGTCCACACCTTTCAGATTAGCACCTGAAGTGAACACATTTATGGGTATTTAAACTTAAAAATGTTTATAGTTATCCACGTTCAAGAAACTGCAAAGTGACTTAATGAAGGTGAACGATGACAGCCTCCTTTAACTTTCAGAAGTAAATCTGTGAACTGTAAATCTCAGCCTCTCAGCCAATTTACAGCCTAAATTTTTATATATAAAGAGTTCATTGTCAAAGACCTGTTTGCTTATAGTATAAATGAAGAATGTTTTAGGATATCTTATCGAGGGGGAGGAATTCATTTGGGTCTTATGATAATTTGTGCTTTTATCATATGCCTCTGTAAGTTTATGACAATGGAGAAAGCACTATGTCTCCTAAATACAAGAGTAAACAAAGTGACCAGTTTATAGACACAACAAACCAATAATGAATTCATAAGCAAAACATTAAATCTAAAAATGACAAAAACTGCCTGGCTTCGTGCAAACTGAAATCCTTCCTTTTGGCTAGTATAAAAATATTGTGTTCTATTTGAAGTTTAAGATGTTAGTATTTAATTATCCAACTAAAGTTTATTAAATATCACAGGCTAGATTTCTTCTTGGTCCTCAGGTTGATTAGTGTATGACTGATACCAAACAGAGGCATCTTACACCTCTGCAAATAATCTGAATATGATGACACAAGAAAGCTTCCCCCCGACAGTTATCCTGTTTTATCCTTAGCAATTATTTTGCTGGCTTTTTACACGTTATGGTACGTTTCCACCACAGAAAAGGTAATTGTAGGATCTCACCTTCTAAATTGGCTTTAAGACCAGAGGGATCCTCAAAATTACACTGTTTCAGGGATGCCCCTTCAGCGTTAGAACAGAGCATCTTGACCCCCTGGAGATTTGCACACTGGCAAAGAAAAAAGAAAAGTCCATGTTTGAAGGTCTAGAATTTTGTTTGGAAAAGAAAAACTTGGCTCAAACAGTAAAAGAAAAAATTTTCTATTCAATACACTCACAATCAGACTTTTCCAACTGAACCCAACAGAACTGAGAACTGTTCTACAGAAACAGTTCTTTTAGACTGTTTTAAAAGCATCAAACTAACAACAGCTGCCCACGTCACATGAAACATAAGGGTTTAGATAAAGAAGTTGAGGGGAGTCAGAACTATGACATCCCTGTTTCTACTTTTAAAAACAGCCCTGGGTATAATAATATGACAGTCAAATATATGGATAAGACAAGCAAAAACTAATTAGGGGTTTGGGCTTTTTCTTCCTCATTCTAAATGGAGGAATCAATAAATGAAATCTTTGATTTTCCAAGATGTTACTATCATCTTCATTTCAAAATACTAATGCCAGCAACTAAAGGCATCATGTAGCTACAAAACACTAACAAGTTGTTTGTCAAGTCTTTGTGTACCAACCATTGCTATACAATATTGCCAACCTCGAGCACACAAATCACGGTTCAAAATAATCTTTATACAGAGAGTAAAACGGTAGAAAATGCTAAGGGATTTAAGTTAGGTTAACTCATTTCAAAGGGTTCAATGCCATCATCAGATCTGAACTCTTAACAACTACTAGATCGGCCAGGAAGCTTATCTATAAAGCTGACATTAAAATCACACCTTCTTCACAAATTTTGACGAATCAAAGGAAATGATGAATGTGAAAATGTTTTAAAAACTGTAAGGCATTATAGGAATGATCAGTACAGTTATTATTATGATTAGACCAGTCATGTTACCTAAAAATACTAAGGCTAATCAAGTCATGTGACAGTCGAAACTATCAAGAAAAATCCTTGTTTTATAGGTACCACTTCAATCACCCTATAGTCAATTCTAATAAAGGGAGCTGAAATACAGACCACTTCAAATCACAGGTAACTGACAACATGTGTGCATTCCACCTATGCCCGTGCCTTAACAGAAGGTGCTGCAGAAACTTGGACTGCATAGCACGGTTAATAAGGACTCGGAAGGACCAAATTAACTAAAAGATGGCTGGATTTTATGTACTTGAAAATACAACATGACAGGAAGCTGGTACATGCAAATGTCTCTGATCGTCTACGTAATGCTCCCAGGTAAAACAGACTAAACACTGTCAAAAGTTTCCAAGGTAATTTTGTAAGTACTACTCTATACTCAGGGCTGCACTATGGAATCTCATAAAGAAGCAAATATATGAGAAATTTCTGTGAAATTTTCTATCTTCAACCGCATAAAGCATTGCATCCTCTATTCCTCAAACAGTAAAGCAGATCACCACCAACACTGAGATTGCTGAAGTCACCTAGTACACCAGCATTGCAACTATAAGAACTGTGCTGTCTTACTATATTGAGAGGGGCAAAGTGATTTGATAAAAACAGGTTACCACTGTTATTTTTAAAGTATGATAATGGTATTAAGATTATGTTTTAAAAGTGGTCAATTATCTTTAAAAAATAAATTAAAAAATATTTACAGGTGAAATAATATGATTCACTTCAAAATAATCCAGGGAGAGGTACAGATGAAACAAATGGGTCATATGTTTATGCTGAAGCTGGGTGATGGAGGTAAAAGTGGGATTAAATATACTATTCTATTTTTGTATATGTTTGACATTTTCCAAATGAAAAGTCATTTAAAAAAAAGAAATAAGGAAAACAAAACACATGCTTTAAGATTCTAGTTCCAGCTCTGCTATAAACTAGCCATTTGGTCTGCAAGTCTCTAGGTCTCAGTTTCTCAATCTGTAAAACAATAGTGTCATATTAGGTAATTGTCAAGGTCCCTCTAGTTCTTACCATTCTATACGTCTTGGATGGGGAATATGCAATGGGTAGGGAAAGGCTGAAGTATTATTATTATTTTTATTTATTTACTTTTAATTCTTTTTTTAAAATTGTACTTCAGGTAAACAGAACAAATAGTTTCTCATTTAACAGTCAGTACACATATTGTTTTATGACATTGGTTAACAACTCCACGACATGTCAACACTTCCCCTTCTCGAACTTGGAGGACCTTTTTTTTTTTTTGGGTGAAAATATACATAGCCAAAGATACACCATTTAAAAAATTTCTAAATGTACAATTCAGTGACATCGATTACGTTCTGCCAGTTGTGCTGCTATTCTCACTTTAGATGAAGGTTTACAGAACAAAATAGTTTCTCATTAAACAGTTAGTGCACATGTTGCCCTATGACAATGGTTAACAACCCCACTGCATGTCAACACTGTCCTTACTCAACCTTGGGTTCCCTATCACCAGGTTTCCTGTCCCCTTCTGCCTTCTAGTCCTTGTCCCTGGACTGCTGTGCCTCATTACTCCCGTTTTGTTTTATGAGGCTGTCCAATCCCGGCTGAATGGTGAACCTCGGGAGTGACTTCACCACTGAGCTAAAAGGGTGTCTGGGGGCCATTCTCTCGAGGTTTCTCCATAACAGCTGAATTATTATATTAGCTTCTATGCAGTATGTTCAAGTCAATAATGGCAGGCAAAGCATATAGAAGAAACACTCTAAAGCATACTGAAAATAGTGTGGCACACAAATGGACTGCAGAACCAAGATAGCAACTGAGAGATCACCTTGGTTTATAGCAGAATCGGATGCTTCCTATGGCAAAGGTTTCATAGCCCATGAGGGAAAGACACAAAGCCACAAATTGGGTAAGAAGTTAAAAAAGAATGGTGGAACCATTAGATGCATCTTATGTGGCAGCATGTATCAAATTCTGTGGACACTGCAGTACATATGGCTATTAATTAGCAGCCATCTTCACATGCCAAGGACAATTAGAAATTAGTTTTGACTCTCACGGCCTACACATTCTGGGCAATGACTCTTCAACATGAACCATTTTTACTATTAATACTTAACCTTCTTATTCTATAGCACATCCGTTTATCAAGTATTTATATATATATATATATATATACACACACACACTCAATATCTATTTTGGCTTTCACATCAATTATACCATATGGATAGAGTAAGCATCATGAGCCCTATTTTACAGATATGAAAATTATGGCTCAGGTTCAAAGTTAGTAATACTATAATTAAACAGAATTCCAAACCAGTTGTATTGACTGATCCAGTTCATCTGTCTTATCTTTTTTTCTTCTTAATAAAAACAAACTGAGCTGCCTCTCAGCAATAAGTCCTTCAACCCTCTTCCTTGCACTGTTAGCCTCTGGACTATTTTGCTACCAACTGGAACCTTCAACATAAAATGGAACAAGGAGAGCGACAGTTCTGAAATGAATATTGACAGATTTTGATACTAGCTCTAATATAAGCTTCAAGAGAAATACGCTGCAATAAAGAAATTAAAAAATTTATTATAATTCTATAAACATTCACTGAATGACTACTCAAAGCAAGGTACTGTATTAGATACCGTTCATTTAAAAGGTGTACAGACATAGGCATTGGTATTAAAGAGCTTAAAGTTGTTAGAAGTTAATGGATTTCACTGTTGGTGCTACATGTCCTCTAATACCAAATAACACAGGTAACTGTAACATAAATATATACATATACATATATATACATGCATACACATATATACATGTACAAACATACATACAGAGAAAGGGAGAGGGCTATTGAGATGCTAACTTGCACAGACTGATGCCTACCATGTTCATTTAAAAATATCTTTGCCAAACACTTCTAGAGTAGGAATATTTTCCCATTCCAGAAACAAAGTTGTATAGAAGATTTCAAAGGTCCTTTTTAGCTTTACCCTTATAATTCACTGAAAACAGACAAATAAAGGGTACTCTATTGAGATTATGATCTACTTTCAAGATTAATTTCCTATTAGTTGCTAAACTTTTCAGGTTTATGTTTAACAAAGGCTATCAAAGTAACAAAACCAACCATTTCACTTTCAGAGCCTTCAGTTTTATCATCAACTTAGTAAATTATCTTTTAAAGTAAAAGCTCCAGTAAGAGACATAATTCCTGCTCTTCGAGACTGTTCAATAGACTTAAAATCTAATTTTTTCTTTAACCAAAAATGATTCTTACATCAAGCACTGATCCAGATAGATCAGCTCGTTCAAGATTTGCAAAGCAGAGATTAGCATGTGCAAGATTGCAGCGGCTTAAATTGGCCATTTTGAAGTTAATGTATCGAAGGTCCAAACGAGAAAGATCAGCACCACTGAAGTTTAAACCCTAAAATTAAAAAACACAAACTGTCACAATATTTAAACCATCTGTGTGTATTAAATTTAATTACTATAACTAACCATCAAGTTTTTTTTAGAAGCAATCGGCAGTTCAGTCATTTGGAGTTTATTACAAAACATAATCAAATGGAATTTAGATACATAAAATAAGTATACTTAATGGATTCCTGGTAAAAGAAACTCTATACATATATTGGAATATAGCCTGGCTATATCACACTTACATGCAGAAGTTTCTAAAGAGGGATATCTGTTAGTCACCTACCTACTGATAAGTGTTACAGTAAAACCAAAAACCAAACCCATTGACGTTGAATCGATTCCGACTCATAGTGACCCTACAGGACAGAGTAGAACTGCCCCATGGGATTTCCAAGAAGCAGCTGGTAGATTTGAACTGCTGACCTTCTGGTTAGCAGCTGAGCTCCTAACCACTGTGCCACCAGGGCTCCAGTGTTATGTATTTTAGTTAAACCTGAATACAGTTAAATTATTTTATTAATGCAATAATTCAAGACAGTTTTATTTAAAAAATGAGTATTTTTGGTTTTAAAAATCTTTAACGTTAAAATATATAAAAGTATCTGCCACTGACTGGCCATACGTAGCAACTGTACAAACAATTAAGCTTTCATTTTAATTGCTGCAATTTCCACACATTACTCAAAAATTGCTACACGAGGCACAGACAATAAAAAAGGCTGTTGCTTCTCTTTTTTTGCTAATTATTCTGGGATTAAATCAATGTTATCACCAATAATTAAATTATATCTATCACGAAAAAGGAAAATAAGGCAAAAACAAAAAACAAAAAAACCTCCTACAAAATAAACCCCTAGAGAAATAAAAACATTATTCACAGATTTTCTGTTATAAATAACCCCATAGGAAAGTCTGCTTTAACTACCTGGCAACGTAATTCTGACTTGGTTGGAGTGGCTAGCAGAAATCGTACAAATTCCTTTCGGGATATTGGTGAGTGATCCTCTGGTGGTTGAGAATTCTTGGAAAAGATATTAAGAAATTAGTAGGGCATTTTGGGAGACAGCTACAATGAATGCAATATTTGCGAATGTAAAAAGAGCTTTACCTTTATTGCCACTTCTAGGTGTTCAATCAATGAATCAATACCAAAAAATCTGGCTTCTTCTAACACACCTATCAGAACAAAAATGATTTGACTTACAGAAAATTATTCATTTTCGTATTTATAAAATTATTTATGCTAAGTTCTCATAATGGAACTGAAATTGAACAAGTAGGCCATTAGTCAACATAGAAGTACCTGATGTTTAGAACATATATATAGAATATTTTAAAACATGTGAGACAAAGAAGCTTTTCTATATAGTTTACAGACTGCAAAAGGAAAAAACAGGAATCTAATGAATTAGAATGAAAGCCTTCCATATTTCAAAATTATTTCTAGTAATTACTTTTAATAGGCCATAGGCAAGAAATCTTAATATCGCATATGCATAATATAGTTGATTCAGTGATTTGATTGTGAATCCAATAAAAATGATTTTAGTTCACCAAATTTTAACATTTCATTGACTTTTTAATGGAGCAGATCTGAATAAGTTTGTCACAAATACATTTTACTTGTTGAATTAGAAGATTATAGAAATGAATAAAGCAAGCCAGCTTCACAACAAATATTAAAAGTATAATTCAGAAACCTTTCTTATAGGAGAATCAATTAAAAAAAATTTTTTTAAATGATAAAAGGGATTTCATCCATCATTTACTTTGCTTAATCTGGCTAAAAATAATAATAAAAGGTCTCTACATCCTCCAGGTGACGTGGTATGCTTACTTCCTCATATCTGTTAAACATTTTCATCAGAGTATACAAGAATACATTTAGGATCCATTATCTTTCAAGTCCAGATCTTAGTCATTCAATTGGCTGAATCTACTTAGAAAAAAATTACTAAAGACTCAGAAATTACGAAGAAAATAAGAGACACAGTCCCTCCCGTCAAATGGCCCCAAGTTAATAAGGGTAACAAGTATATAAGGGAACTATCAAATCAGAAACATAACTTAGATATAGAAAACCACAAACAGTTACTTGGAAAGAATATTATCTTTTCTGGGACAACCGAACTCCACCTCCAATATTCCAACTGCAAAAGAAAGGCCATCTGATTTACAGCCTACCACTCAGGTACGCACTCTGGCATAAGGCTTCCAGTCCATACCAGAATGGCTCCACCTCTGGATGCATCATGAAGAGGCTGTCACACTGTGACATCTGTCCCTGGTAGAAACCCATCACGAAAGAGGTTCTAGTGGGCCTCACTCTCCGTTTGCCAAGATCTTCTGAGTAAATCAGAAATCTCTCAGGGAATGTGGTAAGGATTTTTTAAGGTTCAATTTTGAACCTTAAAAACTTCCAACAATCTTATAAATAAAAAAGACATTCATGGAGAACAGCTGAGGAATTGAAGTATACTTGGTGTATGTTCTGCTGTGTATATTCTCAATAACAACAATAAAATAAATAAAATTTAGAAAAAAAGAAAAAAAAAAAAAGGCTCTGGCCCCCTAAGTCCATATTACCACATGGCAAAACTCTGCTGAAGCTGAGTAGGTGTGTGTACTAGAGATTGTACACTCCCCACCACTCCTCAAGTACTAATATTAGACCCAATTCAGTCACCTGCAGGCCTGTAAGTTTAATGTAACCATTGGTTTACAAGGACTTTCATCTAGATCATGTCATGAATCTTCATAAAAATCTTGTGAAGTAGGCAGGAATGAGAGTATTTTTAATATCCATTTTTTCAAAAGGGGCTCAGAGAGATAAAATGACTTTCATCAAGTTAAACATCTACTAAGCTGTAGAGTTAAGACTCTAATCCAGTCTTGTGATTTAAAAGCATGGTTTCCCCTTCTGAACACTCTACTTCTCAACATAATGGGAAGGTCCATAATTTGAAGTCAAGCCACAGCCACAACTCTTTTTAAAACAAACAAAATCCTTTAAAGTCCCTTGTGACAGAATGTAAATCTATTTAGAATCTAAAATTGGAATTTATGGGTTAGACACATACCTATATATGCAAATATATCTGTCTGTGCCTATATTTCTGTAACTATACATATTCATATATTTGTGAAAACATTTCGTTTAAGAAATGGAAAAGATATACTTTCACTTTAAAAAAATATACTACACCACTGGGTAAGTGAAAACGAATTAAAAATCCTGAACTGACAAAAATGTGAAGAATCATATTAAAAACTCACCCAGTAAATTAATGCCATCGTTAACAATGAGCTGTCCATGCCTCAAATAGTTCAAAATGGGTTCAAAGTACTCAGGACTTCGGTCAATTAAGAAAGCTCCTCTATGGTCTTGCTTATTTCCCCAGACATCTGTGTTATCATTAAAATGAACAAAGCCCCCATAAAGAGAAAACAAAGTTAGAAATTTAAGGAATAAAAATTTTGTAAAGTTTTTACTCTTATAAAATTATTGATATCCTTAAAAAGTACGGAAGTAACAGGAGTTTAAAAAGTTAATATAGACACAAATAGAGCATACAAAATATGAAAACAATGTGCTCTACTTACCTTTGTCCTTAAACATGTGGGCCAGCATACTGTCAGGTTCTTTATTCACTAAAGTGCTCCTAAGAATTCAGGGAAAAAAATTGATTTCTCCATTTGTCTTTATAAAGAAACATATTTAAGTCAAGAGTATACTCGATCCCAGCTGCTCTCTCAAAAAGATGCATGCTACAACCTGGTAGGAGTAATGCTGGGAAACAAAAACGTGCAGTAAGTTGCCATTTATCAAAATCCCTTCTAATCTGGTACTTCCTTTGATTTAAATCTTGTTTTAGCTTCCTTTTATTTAAATAATAATATAAGCTTCTAGCAAGCTAGAATATCAAAATACTCATGATCTTCAACACTAACATTTTCTGATCCCTTTAATATAAGCAGTTATATTCTCTACACATTTCAATGTTGTTAATTTTAGCTTTTGCAAGTGTGTATATTACTTGATATCTAAAAACCTACTTCTAAAACACTAAATGCATGCTTTCCATGGTTTTGCTGGAATGACTTCTAAACCATTTTCTACTTTTTTTCTTTTAAAAAGTCTTTCTAAAAATGGTTTCACACTATGGTACACTGTATATTTAAGCAGCATTTGAGTATCTTTTAAGGAAACTGGCAAACTGAAGGAAAGAACAAACAGTGCCTACTGTTTCTCTTTTTAACAGACACACACACACATACACATAAACACCTACCGTGTAGTTGTAAAGTACCGCCCTCCAACATTTAATGTTAGCCAGTCTGTGTGGGATCCTGTCAGTCCTTCAGGTTTAGAATCTGTCTGAGGATCTAGAATGACATATAGAAAATAATAAAAATATTAAGATTGGAGATTCTGGGAGGATGGCAATGGCATAATTTTTTAAACTAAATACACACATAAAACCATACCAAAACTACTAGGATAGCAAAACCCAAACCCATAGACAGCATTTAAAACAAAACTAGGTGATAAGGTATTCCCACAAACACCAACAGCTTAAGAACACCATCTGTGAAGGGAAAAACAGGGAGAAGCAAGAGCACATGTGATGAACTTGGGAATTCCAAAGTAATCCACAGATACTCACTTCAAAGCTCAGCAAGTGTACTTGAAAAGAGCAGACTGCAGGTGGGAGGCAAATGCCCACTCCAAAAGGGGGTGCTGCAAGTAGAGTTTGCAGTGAGATCTGAAGGGGCTACAAATGAGTTCTCAAAACCAACCAGTCAAACTCCCTTCTAGGACAAACCTCATACTGAGGATAAGATGCTGGGAATACAATCCAAGCTGAATGGGACAGAGACACTAAACGCCAAAAAGAAAAACAAAAAGGATTCCACAGAAAAGTTGAGGAGGTCTAACAAGCAGAATTTCTCAGAAAGTGAGCCCCATGTTTCTTAGCACTTCACAAAAACAATAGAAAAGGGAACATTAGAGTCATGAGATTATAAAAGGTTTTCTAAGTCACCTTCTTAAGAAAAACTAGTTTCATGGAATAAGGAGAAACAGAAAAGGACTGAGATCAAACCTCACACAAAATTATTAAAAGATTAAAAGAGAGTAATGAGAATTGCATTCCTATAAACAATGGAAACGTGCCAGAAAGAAATGCCCACAAAATAGATAAAAGCTATTATCTAATATCCTAAAACATATAAAAATAAGTAAATGATACAGAATATGAAAGAAGAACATAAACCAAAATTCATTAAACGAAGTGACAGTCCTCAGGAGGGAATAAGAAATAAAAGAAAAACCATTTCAGAAATGATGACTAATCTAAAAGAAACACAGGAGTGAATAAAGGGAAATAAAAGATGAAAAAGAAGCAAGTCTTAAAAATCAAAAAGAAATGAAGAAAAAGATGAAAAAGATTTAATAGAAGGTTTCAAATACAGTCATGCACCACATAACGTCCGTCTGGGCAACGTCCAACCGCATATATGTCCATATTCCCATAAAGTTATCCAGAGCCAGGTGGAGCCTGCAGCCCCACCCCATGCAGGAGCAAGGGAAGGAGAAAGGCTTGCAGTCACGTGCTGCTTAACATCCACGTTCAGGGAAACAGGGCTGGGAAATAGGATGCTGTGTGAACATATTATATACACACTCACCTCCTTTGGGGTCCCTTCCCCCTTGCTTGTAGCTCACTTGGGTGTAAGTCCAGACAGCCACCCACCCCTCCTTCCCTGCAAGCCTTTCTCCTTCCCTCGCTCCTTTGAGGGGTGTGGGATCACAGGCTCCTCCTCCTGCCAGTACTGTATAACTGGTCCATTACCCTAAGGAACATTATGTGGCACATAACTGTACAGTTTGTAAACGTCCACATCACATAACGTCCCATTTCACAGAATGTATCATGGACGTTAACTGATGTATGACTGCATGTAAGACAAGTATAGAAAATCCACCATCATATAAAGGAGTCCTGAAAAAAGACAGTCAAAGAAAGGAAACAAAATAAATACATACTTTAAAATTCAAGAAAACTTTTCTGAAATTAAAAAAAATAAAAATAAAAAGATTTGAAACTACATATTCAGAAGCCCACCACGTAATTAAGAAAATCAACCTAGAACAACCCAGAACACCAAGACATATCTACTAAAATTACTATACTTTAAAGAAAGAGAAAAATTCTTTGGAAGACCTATGAAAAACACTTGACTTATGAAAGTAAAAAATTAAGACTGTCATCAGATTTTTCAACATCACTTTATGCCAGAATAAAATGGAACAACATATTTAAAACACTTAAAGAAAGAAAATGTGAATCAAGAATTTTTTAACAGCTTCATTGAGGTATGATTGGTATACAATAAACTACACATATTTAAAGTTTACAGTTTGATACATTTTGACATATGACATTATATCCAGCCAAACTGGCTTTCAAGTATAAAATCCACGAACTATTATCAACATATAAGATGTCAAGAGAATACTGTTCTCACAAGTCCTTTCTGACGAATCTACTAGAGATGAAGTTTCAGACAGCCACTAGAGATATCAATAGAAGAACTAGAGGTAAGCATTAGATACACTTAAAGAAATAAGACTAAATGAGGGTTATAAGGGAGAGACTATAGAATATAATGGCTACATACTCCAAGAATACAGAAACAGTATAATTACTAAGGGGAGAAAAGAATGAACATATGCAAAAAAAGTTTAACCGTTTTTAGTAATCAACATTCATGCTGCAACTATTGGGACTGTTATTCTGACACTTTTATGTGTGTCTTATGTGGGATGAAGTAAATGAGTAATATGTGATTTTATAATTCTATCATTCCCTATGTCCCTCAGAACCAGGATTATTGATATGGAAGAAAAGAGACATTGATGTAAAATAGGAGCTAAATAAAAATCCTATAATCCTCAATATAAACTGGAAGTATTAGTATTAACCTATGAATTATTTTTGCTATCTACATATTATGTTATATATGATATATAAACTTAGTATCATACATAATATATATTATATATAAACTTCATCTCTAGCTACTATGTATTTCCAACTCTCTCCTCCAAAAAGGTCTAGTAACAATGATGAACCCAATAGCAATGAGGCTCCCTAGAACCCAGATTGTAGTCTTGAAATGACATTTCCCACTAAAAGAAATCAAGGTTTTGTAGAGAAAAGGTTGAGTCCATGTCTGGGACATGAAAAGTACAAGATGAACACCTTGTGATTTAACTGACTTGCCCTAAAACATAGAAGTGCAATAGTAGAAGAATAGCCCTTCAGTTGAGCAGCTATGAATCAGAAATCTGTGTCTAAGTAATTTATTCTGGATTCAGAACAAATATTCTTATAAAAATGTTATAAAATGGTAAAATTCCTAGGCCAGTTCACAAATATTTATTTGGATCTGCTGCCGCCCTGGTGGTGCAGTGGTTAAAGCACTCGGCTGCCAACCAAAAGGTCAGCAGTTCGAACCCAACTGCTCCTAGAGAGAAAGATGCAGCAGTTTGCTTCCATAAACATTTACAGTCTTGGAAACTCTATGGGGCAGTTCTACTCTGTCCTGTATGGTCACTATGAATTGGAATCTACTTGATGGCAATGGCTTTTTTTGGGGAGGTGGGGGGTTAAATTTTTAATAAGAAAAGAACTATTTTTTGCAGGAGAGGAGAGGAAGAGAGCAGGTTTCTCCTTTTGTAGCCAGAAGTAAATGCCCTCAGCAAAACTCTGAAATAAGTAGTCTGCCTTCGGCATTCTTCATCCCTTTTTCTGTATTGCCTAACAGTGTCTCCCACATCTTTTATCCTCTGTAATATACAAATTCTCAGTGGACCACCCACTTCAAAAAATGCCTAAAATCCAAAGTGCTTCACACTTTAAAATAACCTACCCTTTTCTCTTAATTAAAATTCATATTTTTTCAGTGTAGTTGACTTAACCCTCATAGCCTTTCCAACCTAATATGATGCCAAAAAATAATGACATTCTAAAGAGAAGCCTGTCAGCATATTATAATTAGCTGAATTATAGCTGTAAAGTAAAAAACAAACTTGCTAGAATACTACTTGCATTTCTTTTTCTTCTCAAACTTAATGCTTTAAGGCAGACGGTCCTATGGCAAAACCCTGGAAGGTTAAGACCTGGGCAGGCTTTGCTTTTTTGTTTGTATGTTTGCAATGAACCAATAACGTTAAATGCCTGTTGCCTGCCAGCCACTCTGTTAGGCCAATGGATAAAAGAAGATGAGAAACGTTTTTTGCTCAGTTTTAAGGTGGAGACAGACAAAGAAGAGCATGCGCTTGCTTCTAACTTAGCCTGTGCAATGATCCTGAGAACTACCTCCACTCACCAAATATAATTACTGTGACACTTAAAAAATAATCCTTAAACAAATACTTCAGAGTGTGATTGTTTGCAACTAAATAAATACTTGCTAAATAGGCTTTTTCTTTTGATGTACAATGTTATAAACTTTCTTCCATATCAAAAGGTAATCTGTGTGTGTGTGTGTTTGACCCCACTTTATGACTGATTTGATCACTATGAAGGACTGTCAAATAATACTTATGCCAGACTACCCCCATGCCATTTTACAGCTGGCGTCAGAAGTAGGATTCTTTGCAATGGCTCCAGACTCATGAAAGCATGGGACTTCGTAAGAGAAAGAACAAAGGGGCTTGGGAAGTGAAAGTTTTGATTCTTGGATGGTTGCTTTCGTTGTTGTTGCCTGTAATTGCTGAAGGAAAGGGTTAAGCTGCAGCTGAGGGGAGAAAAGTCCCACCTGAAGTGGTCTGGGTCATAAAGCCAGGCCAGATAAGCAGGATGACTGGTAAGAGGCCAGGGTCTACAGGTTCCACCCAGCCAGAGGCCCCAGACCATATGCATAAGAATAGGAAGATAGTTAAGGGGTAGAGAAGAGAAGATGAAACTGCAATATTTGAAAAGGGGTTATGAGTTTAGGATTATGTGTTTAATTGAATGTACTACGGATACTGACTGTTTCTCCAATCTAGTGTTGTAAACCTAAATGTATGGTAGAAATGAATATTGGGTGTTATAGATGACAGAGAGTTTGTAATTCCACCTTCAGTCAATACGTGATTGGATATGCTAAAAGGGGAGCTAGGATTTGCCTGAGGCAAACACAGGCTGTTGGTTTCAAAGCAGTAGCCCTGTGTATCGAATGGGGGCTTAGGTTGAAAACCTGAGCCCCGCCCAGATTTGCATTTGAAAAGACATGCAGAACTACCCAGAACTGCTAAGGGAACAAGAGATTTGCATTAGAAGCGCGGGGGAAAAAAAAGTGTTTTGCTTTTTGAATTTGAGCAAGCGGGCTTTGCTGTTGGATGCATTAAGGCAGGAAAAGTCAGTGCCCATCAGATGGAACCCCCTTCCAGGACTGGAAGTTAAAGGGAGCCTGTGAGTAGACAGGTTGGTCTGCTCTCTTGTGGTGACCAGCTTGGGTCCACTCAATGAGTGGAAATGGGGGAAACTGCAGCAATGAAGAGAGGGGCTGAGTTTGGGTATGTTCCATCGGCACACACTGACCCTAGCCCATGGGGGCTAGGGATGAGAGAGAAAGGGCTGGCTGGTCAGAAAAAGGAGTTGTGTGTGGATTTCTGAATTTACGGGTGGAATCTGCAGACCAAGCCCAAGGGGGCTAGGGATGAGTGTGAAGGGCTGTCTGAAGTGCCGGGAAGTGTGTGTTAACTCTCGAGCCTAAGGCTGCAACCCATTGTGACCTAGCTTGGATGGCTAGGGATGAGCTGAACAGAACCTGACTGAATGAAGAGAAAGATGTTTGACACCATGAGCTGGTGCAGACCACTGCAATTTGATGGCTTGCCCTGGACTGGACTTTGCTCATGGATGCAGATGCTCGAAGTTCCAATGGGAACAAAAGATTGTTCAAGACCAAGGAACATGCTTGATTCCCCAGTACTGGTTTGAAAAAGATGGGCAATTTAAACATTGGCTATCTAAAACAGGGGAGATAAAGGCACGAAGTAGCTGGCTTACACGCTATTGCAGGTATGCGTACACTAAAAATGAAGGGGACAAGGGAGGATCCCCACTAAATAGTTTCCTCTTTTCCTGATGGGTCTGGGGATGAGAGAGTGGGTGAAGATGCTGACAGGATTATATGATTCAGTGTGAGTGCTGACTGTTAAAAGCTTAATTGTGATTGTAAAAACTGTAATTGTAGAAGCTATTATAAGTGTGAAAGAGTGGACTAAGGGGGAGGCACTGCTGGACTCCAGCACAGAGGCTGAACCTAAAGTCCCTTAAAGGTTTTGCTATGCTGATACCTTGTGAGGCTCAGAGCAAGGGAATAATCTTCTCTCAGTTAAATTTTATCAGAGGCCAGAAGGGGTTAAGCTGAGACGACTATTGGAGAACCTGTTCAGATCAGATGGAAACCTGTAGAAGACCTGAATGGCTGGCACCTGAGTAATCTCATCCTTAAGCCTCTTTGCCCTACTGCAGGACTAATTGTTAATGACTGTTTTGGACTGGTAGAATGATTGGGAGGGGGAAGTTACCCTCCAAATACAAAAGACTCATAGCTAGAAAAGCCAGGGGGTGGCCTGTGGTGTAACAGATTGCTTTTGTGTGGCCTTTCTCACCAGGGTCTTGTCACTCCCACCCAGGTGATTGGGTGGGACTATGTGATAGGGTAACTGTGGCCCACCAAAGGGATGGGTCAGTTTTGCCACCCTGCTGGGCTTGAAGTGAGCCACCCCAGAGGTAGGAAAGAGAAGAATCCCACTGCCACCAAGGAAGAACAACCAGGAGCCAGCATGTCCTTTGGATTCCTGAGCTGAGAAGCTCCCGGAAGCAGAGATGGAGTGATGGAGAGTTGAGTTGTAACCCTGAAAGTGGCAGAGAAGCAGTAGCAGGAGAGATCGGCAGCGGGAGACAACTAGATGGGCTTCCCAGCTCATGGAGAGAGACAGCCAGTGTCTCTGGGCAGAGGCCTAGTGCCAGGGAGAGGCATGTCTGCAAGCATGGCTGGGAAGAGGCTGTCCTGATGGAAGAACTGTATCCTTGAGTGTTCCTGAGCCTGAACTGTAACTTGTTACTTCACTAATAAACCTCATGATCGTGAGTATTGTCTGTGAGTTCTGGTGGCCATTGCAATGAATTCTTGAATGCAGGAGAGACTGCTGTGGCAGGGGCAGTTTGTGTCAGAATTGGTAAAGATGGCAGAGAGAGGAGGCTTGTCTGGCCTCCACCTCATGGGGGTCAGCCCATGCGCTGTTGATCTAGATTCTCCTTCCCCCTTGTGGGCTTGGAGGAGGTCAGACACCACCTTTATGCTGTTTTTACAGTCAGCAATATATGCTTAAAAAATGTGATAAAACATCTAGAGAAACTGTGACAACTACTACCAAAGAAAAAATTTCAAACAAGGCAGTTGTACTTTCTAAAATCAAAACTACCCTGTCGTCATATTTAGTGAATACGTACACATCCAGAGCATTTTAAACGGATGTAAAAGACTAGGTATCCATGCTAAAATATGATCATACAATTCAAATAAAAATTTTCCTTAAACACAAACACCCAATGCAGAATCAAAAGAAGTTTAAAGATCCGAGTTACTGCCACAAGATTCTTTTTAATGTTAGGCTTAATAACTTCATGTAAAGTGTTTATCCCTTTATCTTTTTTATTTTGGTAGACAAAATTGGCTTTTAGGTAAATCACTTACCAATAAATGGTTCTCCTTCACACACAAACAAAACATCATCATCCCTGGGAAAATCAAAATTTAAAAAGCCACCATCAAAATCCAGAAATCACATCAATTATCTGCTGACTATAACTATTTCTTTGAATTATGCAGAAGATAGGTTTTGCTATAAATCTATGCTGCAAAGAAGCTGACTATGTATCTAATTCCAGTGCTTCATTTAACTTTCTAACTTGCACGTGTACTTTTGAAAAAAAGTACTTTTTTGAACATAAAATCTGTAATTGAAGAATTTACTATTATGCTCAAAGGATATGATTAAAGCAATAGCCCAGCTCCTCTTTTTTTGTTTTAATTTTTTACCCTTAAATGAATTATGGTAGTTCTTTCCCAAATTATTGGGGTTCTGTCCCAAACCCAAAGCTGTTGTATGCTTTGGTAATGTATATTTTTTACATTAAATCTCGGAAAAATAGAATTGGAAAAGTAACTCCGATACAAACATTTCCCTGCTGTACACCCCCTGTATATTTACATGACCAAATAGAAATGATTGGGCATAATCAATAATTGTGAATTATCAGTGTACATCCCGCTGGCCATTCCACTGTTAGTGTAAGTACATGAACTGTGAACCACAAACTGTTAACAGGCATGTATTTTATACCTCAGAAGGCTTTAGTTATGATCTATGTTGTAGAAGTTTTTACTTCCTATAAGATAGCATAGAAACACATTGAATATTTCTTAGAAGCAGGGTCTGTGTCTGTTAAGGAGAAAATTAAGTAGATGTAGATCACTCCACGATGTGACTCAAATATCCATAGAAACCCATAAGAAACTGGGCGATGGATATTAAAAACTAAGAAATTCTCCTAATTCATTTGGATTTGAAATGCAGTTCATAATATTTGCTCACCATGCCAGTTAACTTTTTTAGATTAGTAGGAAAATTTGTTTCTACTTTACGAACGAAAATCAACTATTAAATTGTATGACCTTAGGTAAGTCACTTAAGTTCTTGAGTACTTAGTTTCCTCTTTTGTAAAATGTACGGACTGGAAATGATTAACTTCTAAGGCAGTATATTACATTGAAATGTCATTCGGACCTGGTTTTAAATGGAGATTAAACTTTGCATATTATTATAATTTACAACATCAGTATCTTCAAACCATCAATAAAAGAAAAGCATGCTTTGTCAATTAAATGAAATAACTTGAGCAAAGCAATCACAATATAATTGGCACCTAACCCGTACTTAATTTGTGTCCCCTTCCCCATTTTCTTTGCTCCAAAATTCTATGATCCTATAAGGATGGAGTGAGGTGAACTAGACACTTGTTTTAATGGGATCAATCAGCATGGGATAGCAAAAACAAAACCAAGCATAAACAAAAACACTATTGTAGTAGATCACCGTGAGTTAACTTTATTTAAAATTCTATCATATTCAGCAAGTTTCACAAAAGAAGGTCTCTGGAATGTTTGCAAAATTCAAAGCAATATTAGAAAATGAATTTAATGATAATCTGGTGGCATATAAATAAAGAGATCAATCAGATTTTTAAGTTAAAAAATGCAAGTCTTAAATCCATCTCGAGTAACATAAAGAAGAAATTCCTCTTAGACTTTCTGCATAATTCATATATGGCTATCAGTATATTGAAATGTACTGACGGTTTTCTATCTGATCAATACACCTTAGTCCAAATGATTTAAATTCCCTAGAGCAAATTCCAGGCAACCACTTTCCAAAATCCTATATTCTTAACAGTGATTAGACTACTGTTTAAGGGAAACAGCATGGCGCCAAGAAGCCAAGGGCATACTGTGAGTTGACAGCTTATAAAAAGGTGAAGGTTACCTGATCAAAGCAATATCATCAATCAGTCCACCTTTCCCATTATACACACTGGTGGCTTTTATGCCGAGTTTACTGCTGGCCACAGAAAGCAAATCAGATAAAGTTCCATATACAGCAACCACCTGTAATTAAACACACCAGATTAATTTGAACAATGTATATAATGAATTTCATCACCCATAAATTACTAACCATTATACTATAAACAGAACTAAAAACTCAGATTATCATATAAAAGGAAATTTCAAGAAGTTCTTAACAGTGTTCCTTTTTCTATGACTCAAATATTTACTTAGTGCCTAATACTGTGGACATTTAAAACTAGAGACCAAAAGCAATCCACAATCTTAAAGTATGTTAAATACTGTTCCAGTTCTGAAGTAAGAGGGACTTGGATTTGAATCAAGATTCAGACATTTTCAAGCTTTTGATGGAGACAAATTACTTAACCTATTTATGCTTCTGTTGCCTTACTAGAAATGAAGAAAACAGTAGCACCCACCTCATACGGCTGTTGAGAAGAAAATGAGTTAACACATGATAAGAGCTTAGCAAAGTGCCTGAGACATATTAAATCCTTACTATGTTGGCTTTAACTTATTCCTTTATTATAGGAATGGATTATTTTTAAAATAGGAATGATTTACTGTCATTTATTTTATCATTTACTACATTAACTACTATATGAAAGATAACCACCTCCTACCTCATTTACTTAATTCTTCAATACCTACTTCTATTCATTATTTTATAAAAGCCAGATTGCAGCATCTAACATTCTAAATATAGCAAAAAAATCCCCAAAACCAAAAAAACCACACCCATTGCCATTGAATTGATTCTGATTCATAGCAACTCATAGGACAGAGTAGAAATGCCTCATAGGGTTTCCAAGGGGCAGCTGGTAGATTCAAACTGCCAACCTTTTGGTTAGCAGCCAAACACTTAACCCCTGCACCACCAGGGCTCCAATACAGCAAACAGGTGGGTGATAATGAATTGATCTGTCCTGCTCTAAATCATGCACAATCTGATGACATATGTGCAAGACATATGTAACTGCTTATGTAGGGGAGTGGGAATCTTGAATTTTGTGCTCTGCTCATGATGGGAACTATGGGGTTCCCAGTTGCTGAGTTGTATAGCTGTACCATTAGCATGAGGACCTCTGAAAGTTATGGACAAAACTTGTTAAGTAAACAAGGTAAATAACAGGGCATGCAGGGAGTTGTCTGCTAACATAGGAGTGTGCAACCTTTCAAAGGCAGAGTACTCAGATTCCAATTGTTTTCTCTTGGCAGGAACCCAAGAATGAAGGCCAGGGGAGTGCTGTGTCAGTGACAGTAGAGCTGGGGCGTTCGGGGAAGGCTTGAAGGCAAGTACAATTTAAAGGGAACCAGACAGATTATAAAAAACAATGCAAAGCACTTGGCACAGAGTTTTGCACGCAGGACACATGCCAAAAATCATAGACGCCTGAATAAAATATGCCCCCTATATTTTCTATCATTTTTCACCTCTGTAACAGAGTCTGGAATGTTAACAGTTATTTCATATAAACATTCCCGGGATAAAAGGAAGAGAAACATAGTGCATAGGGCATTACATACAGCAAGCCTGGTTGTGTTAAGGCAAGGGGTGTGAAAAGAGGAGAGAAAAGAAACAAAAATGTGAAGGAACAGGAGGTAGACTTGGTTAGTACAAAGACTTTTACAATCTGCAAAGTGCTATGAGGGGAGGGTATAAACTTCTCCTTTTAACTCTGGCATTCTTGTTGTAGTTGCTATTACACTAAGAATTTTCTAAATCTTTCTCCCCTTATTTACTTCTGCTTCTTATATATCATTACATAGTTCTATTTTGCCTCACATTATCTTCTCCTTGTCCTAATAACCTCAACTTTCTCCCCAGCCTTTCTTTCCACTCTTCTTGCTCAACTGGCCACAACATAAAATGGCTCCAAGATTAATGTATCTGTACTATGCTCCTATATTTAATACAAATATTAGAGTAACAATTTATAAGCCTTGCTTTTCAAAAAAATACATTAAATTGTTTTCTATTTCCATATAATTGACTTGATTTTTCTTGTGGGTCAGTGGTGGTCTAATGAAAACCAAGGTCACCCCTCATACTCTAAAGCTGTGCTGTCCCGTTTGGAAGTCACTAAACCTGTTGCTACTGAGACAATTCCAACTCATGGCGACCACATGAGTTAGAGTAGAATTGCCCCCATAGGGTTTTCTTGGCTGTAATTTTTATGGAAGCAGATTGCCAGGCCTTTCTTCTGTGGTGCCACTGGGTGGGTTTGGACTGTCAATTTTTAAGTTAGTAGTTAAGTGCACTAATTACATGTAAAGGAGTCCCTAGATCGCCCAAGTGGTTAGGCACTTGGCTGCTAACCAAAAGCTTGCTGGTTCAAGTCTACCCAGAAATGCCTTGGAAGAAAGGTTTGGAGAATTCTACTTCTACTTCTGATAGGTCTGCCATTGAAAACCCTATGGAACAGTTTTACTCTGACATACATGCGGTCGCCATGTTGGAATTAGCAACTGGTGCTGGTAGAATTAACTAAAATTAAAAATTCAGTTTATTAGTTACACTAGCCATACTTCAAGTGCTCAGTGCCACATTCGCTAGCGTTTACCATATTGAACAGTGCTGATACGGAATATTTCCATCATCACAGAAAGTTCTACTGGACAGCACTGTTCTAAAGAGCAGGATAAAATGAAGAAAAATACAAAGAAACACCTATTTTAATTCTATTAGACTTGACCATGACATAGCAACCCACAGAGTCGAACTCAAAACAATCTGGCATTATCTTGTATAACCGAACGTTCCCACACCTTAATACCCAGCTTGGTATATATATTCTAGAGCAGTGTTCTCAAAATGTGATTCCTAAGCCAGAAGCATTAGAATCACCTGGAAATTTGTTAGAACTACAAATCCCTAGAACCACTCCAAACCTACTGAATCTGAAACTCTGGGAGTGAGACCTAGAAGGTATCTTCTCAACCCCCAGGTAATTCTTATATAAGCTAAAATTTGAGGATCACTGCACTAGTAGCACAGTGGTTAAGAGCTCAGCTGCTAACGAAAAGGTCTGCAGTTCGAATCCACCAGCTACTCCTTTGAAACCCTATGGGGCAGTTCTACTCTGTTCTATAGGGTCGCTATGAGCTGGAATTGACTCTACAGCAATGGGTTTTTTTTTTGGCACTAGAAAAATTATTGCACACGTGTACCACGATACATGTACAGGAATACTCATGGAAGCACAGTTAACTTAATAGCAAAATATAAAAAAAATAACAACCCAAATGTCCACTGAAAGGAGAAAGGATAAACTGTTGTTATATTTTTATAAAACAGACTATTATAAAGCAGTAAAAGTGAATAAACTATCATTATGTGGGATATTATGGACAGAATCTTGGAAATACATTGAATGAAAAAAGCAAATCCAAATACAACATGATACCACTTTTCTAAAGCCCCAAGGTGGACAAAACAAGAAATGGTTTAGCTATAAATACATATGTTGTAAAACTGATTTAAAAGAAAAAAAAAACGGCAAAGAGAAATACAAGATTCATGAAAATAGCTGCCTTTATGGGACAGGCAGGGGATAGGAAAGTGGATGAGCATACCAAGTTATTAGTAATATACTACGTCATGGCTTAGGTGACAAATAATTTTCCTTTTAATTTTTATATATATTCTTTTGTATGTATCAAACACATTAAAAAAATGTTTAAGCTTAGACAGCCCTCTCAAGATTCTTATTAGTGTATATTTCATGAGGCAAATGTTCACGTTTTCGCCTTTCTTCAAATCTAGATACTTAATACCAACAACATATATCTGAAATGATTACCAACAAAGCCAGAAAATAACAGTATTTCCCAGACCAAGAAGGCAAAGACACAGACATCAGTACAGAACTGAGATGCCTCCTGTACTACTGCCTGCCGTGCTAGGCACAGTGCCTCACATTCAGAAGGTACTTGATAAGTGTTGGTTGAATGAATAAACTATACAAAAGGCCTATGACTCGCACAGCAAATTACTGAGTATTCTGAAGTCAAGGCTGCCAAAAAAGGAGATTATGTTCAAGGTGTACAGAAGCTTTGTTTGTACTGATATCAGGTTACTGAGAAGCCACTCGGTACACTGAGATGGATGAGTACTCATTTCAGTTTCCTTAAAACCACCTCTTACAGTTCTGCTCTGTCACCCTGGGTTGCTATTAGTCGAAAATCAACTTGATGGCACTTAATAACAACAATAACAGGGGAATATAAAAAGGAGAATGGGAATTCTGAGGCATATGAAGAAAGGATGAAAGGTGCAAGCATAACTGATTCTTATTGGAGCAGTGTAAAAAATTGTTAATTAAAGGTCCCTTTTTTTAGAACTGTGTCTTTCAAATGTTTCTGATGGTGCACCCTTTTAGTAGAACATTTCTGGGAATGTGCTCAAATATACCGTATGTATATATATTTATTTATAAACTATATGCCACTATGAGAAAATGTTTCCCTGAATGATATGA